ATTATACTCTGTCCTATCGGGTCACTGTGAGTTAGAATTAACTCAATGGTACTGGTTTTGTTTTTTTTTGTTTTACCTTTCAAAAGGGAAGCATGTGCTTATAAACTGGAGAATAAATAAAAAACTAGGATAAGATAATGTTTATTTTAGGGAGAGGGAGAACATGAGTAAAAAGACTGGACTAGAAGCTGTACCTTGTTTTAAATACTTGATTTTGATATGTTGTAAATATTTTTGAATAATTATTTCAAAGTTCAGTGAAAATGTAAAAAGAAAAATGAAAAAAAAAAAACACCTTATGCTTCCAGTAAGTAGATTAATCACACAGAAAGCACTAATTTCAAATAATAATAGATTTTAAATAAAAATTTGATTGTATGTGTCCTTACTGAGATATGCCCTATGAATAGAAAGCAGCAAGGAAATTTTAAGCTGTTTTCACTAATAACATTATTAATAATGATAATGATAATAATGGAATATATTCTGAAACAATGATATGAATATAGTAGTTAAAGAAAATAAATAATCATAGTATCTCTAGAAACCATGTTTTCCAATGTGAAATAAAATGATGTTTTGCTTTATGAAAACAAAAACAATTCTCTGACCTAAGATACTTGTTGTTTTTGTTATTAGCAAATGGGAGATACGAGTAGGTAAAAGAGCTGAACAGAAAATTTCAAAGAGCAGCTCAAAAAAACAGAGTAAATATTATAATGAAATGAGCAAAGACCTGTAGTTAGAAAAGCAAAAGGGAAGAACATGCTCAGCATTTCTCAAGCTGAAAGAACTGAGTTAAAAATTCAAGCCTCCACTTGCAATACTGAAGGATTCTATGGGCAAAATATTGAAGGATGCAGAATGCATCAAAAGAAGATGGAAAGAATATACAGAGTCACCGTACCAAGAAGAAATTGTCAATGCTCAAGCATTTCAAGAGGTCGCATTTTATCAAGAGCCAATGGTATTGAATGAAGAAGTCCAAGGTGCACTGAAGGCATTGGCAAAGAAGGCTTTAGGAACTGATGGAATACAAATTGAAACCTCTCAATGAACTGATGGAGTACTGGAGGCACTCACTCATCTATGCCAAGAAATTTGGAAGACAGCTGCATGTCCTGTTGCTAATTGGAAGAGCTCCAAAGTTGTGCCCATTTCAAAAAGAGGTGGTCCAATAGAATGCGAAAATCATCAGACAATATCACTAATGTCACATGCAAGTAAAATTTTGTTAAGGATAATTTTAAAATGGCTGCAACAGTACATTGACAGGGAATGGGTTGATTCGGACTAGGATGTGGAATGAGGGATATAATTGCTGACATCAGATGGATCTTGGCTGAAAGCAGAATATCATAAAGATGTTTGCCTGTACTTCATTGACTTTGAAAAGGCTTTCAACTGTGTGGATTATGACAAGCTATGAACAACATTTCAGAAAGCAAGTATTTCAGAACATGCTCATGAGGAACCTGCACATAAACCAAGAGGCAGTTGTTTAAACAGAACAAACAGACACTGAATGGTTTAAAATCAGGAAAGGTATATGCCAGGGTTGTATTCTTTCACCATACTAATTCCATCTGTATGCTGAGCAGATAGCTGAAAAGCTGGATTTTATCACAAAGAATGTGGCATCAGGATTGGAGGAAGACTCATTAACAACCTGCAGGTTACACAACCTGCAATATGCAGATGATACAACCTTGCTTGCTGAAAGTGAAGAGGACTTGAAATACTTGCTGATGAAGATCAAAGACCACAGTCGTCAGTAGGAGTTGGACCAATAAATAACATCGTGATAAATGGAGAAAAGGTTGAAGTTGTCAAAGACTTCATTTTGCTTGGATCCATCATCAACATTCATGGAAGCAGCAGTCAAGAAATCAAATGATGTATTGCATTAGGCAAATCTGCTGCACAAGATCTCTTTAAAGTGTCCAAGAGCAAAGATAGGTAAGGTGAAACTTACCTAAGTCATAGTATTTTTTTCAATAGCCTCATATGCATGTGAAAGTTACAATGAATAAGGAAGACCATAGAAGAATTGACATATTTGAGGTATGATATTAAAGAAGAATATTGAAAGTACCATGGACTGCCAGAAAAGCAAACAAGTCTGTATTGGAAGAAATGCAGCTAGAATGCTCGTTAGAAGCCAGAATGGCAAGACTTCATCTCTCATACTTTGGACATATTATTAGGAGGTACCAGTCCTTGGAGAAGGACATTATGCTTGGTAAAGTGGAGGGCCAGCAAAAAAGAGGAAGACCCCCCCCCCATGAGATGGATTGACACAGTGGCAGCAGCAATGGGTTCAAACATAACAATTGTGAGGTTGATGTAGGACTGGGCAGTGTTTCATTCTGTTGTATATAGGGTCACTAAGAGTTAATTAGAACCAACCAACTCGACAGCACCAAACAACAACATACATATGAGATGATTAAGAGACTGGTGGGGAAAAAAGGCAGATAATAAAATGTTATGTTATTCCACTTGTAGGAACAAAAACTGAATGCCCCCAAATGGCCACACTAATGTCAACCCAGGAATACATTCTCATTTTTTCTGTCTCTCTTTCCTGTCCTCTAACATATATCTTTGACTCTAGACCTCAGCTGGAACAGCTTGTCTCTACTCCGCATGGTCTCATCTTCTGGTAGGCTAGCTCAAGCTTCTTCATATGTATAATGGTGAAAATGTTTTCAACAGAAAGCTCACCACGTAACACTTTTCATTGTTCTATTGCCCAAAGCAAGGCACATGGTCCAGCCCAAAGTCACTGTGTGAGGGGATTTCACAGGGATGTGGTTACAGGGAAGTATGGTTCATTGAGGCCTAAGTGTAACAATCTATATCAATTTTTTTTTTCTAGATAAAGAATTTTATTTAGTTTCTCTTATATAGCTCTACATATTAAGTTGGAATCCTGGTGTGGCACTGTGGGTTAACGCGCTGAACTGCAAGCTTGGCAATTCAAGCGCACCAGCCACTTCTGCTGTTGTTGTTAAGTGCCATCGAGTCGGTTCCAACCCAGAGCGGCCCCGTATAGGGTTTCCAAAGAGCAACTGGAACCACCGACCTTGCAGTTCAAACGGCTTTACAATCTGGCTCATTAACCCACAGTGCTACACCAGGATTTTACCAGCCGCTCCTAGGAAACCCTATAGGGTCTCTGTGGGTAGGAACTCATGTGACGGCACTTTACAACAACAATAATGTATAAAATGCTTTAAAAAGCTATACATTTTTTCCTCCTTTCCTTTTTTATTTTGTTCTCTTTCCTTCCTCCCCCGGCTATAACAGCACCACCTCTCCCCACAAAACCTCACTGCCATCAAGTCAATTTTGATTCATAGTGACCTATAAGATAGAGTAGAACCACTTCATAGGGTTTCTAATACTGTAAATCTTTATGGGGGCAGTCAGTCTCATCTTTCTCCTGGAGCGCATTGGAGGGTTTGAACTACCAACATTTCAGTTAACGGCCAAATGCCTAACAGCACTTCCAGGGTTCCTTGCACCATCTCCCATGTAACTCAAAATATCCTAATACCATTACATAGTTCTCCATGATTATTTAAGTGAGTGCACGTGTGTGTGTTGTGTGTGTAATCCTGTATACATATGTAGGGAGATTTTGTCATTGTTTTATCAAAATGGTACTCATTAAAATAATAATTCATGGATATCACTTTGTCAGTTCTTATATATCTCTAGTTCGTTTTTCAAGTAGATGCGTAGTAGTCATCATTTATCCAGTCATCCCCTAGTGATTGGGATGTCCTTTGTTTCTAGATTTTTGTCACTATGATCAATGCTGCAATAAACATCTTTGGGATGTTTGTTCTTACATATTGGTGTCTTATTGCTATGGAACAAACTCATATAAGTAAGCACTATACTGTTATTACCATCATTACTTATAGTGTTTTCTGACATTTGGTAATGTAAGTATTCCCTGCTATTCTTTTTCATATGTTTCTTGGACACGTATTTTTCAATATAAAATTTAACATCATTTTACCCAATTAAAAATACTCTATTGGAGTTACAATGAAATATACAATGCATTCATATATTCATTTGATTCTTCTCATCCAAAAATGCAGTGTTTTTTTCATTTGTTCAGATCTTGTTTTCTGTTGTCCAGGAATATCAGGAGGAGCAGTAATACGGATTCTAGTACTGCTTTTCTCCTCTCACAGCCAACTCCTTACTCAGCAGAGCCCTGCTTTCCTACATACACTCAAGATGCTTGCCCAACGATCAGGATGACAGATATGCAGAGCAAATGGGCTAAAAGGTTGGCCTGACTGGAAAATGGACTGATCTCAAATCAGCCAAAAGGTTGGATCTGGTTTCCAGTGGGAAAGAAGAAGGTTTTCTCTCTCTGCCGTTGAGGACTGGAATAAGATTCCAGGTATCGCTGTGAAAGGCTAGTTTTCAGAACATAACAAACAGAAAATCTGATTTGCATGTCCATAGAGATATCCTTCTAACAACATGAAGCTCTTCATTTTAAAAGAGGAAGGCTGGTTCTACTCAGACCCACCCCTTGTGCTGCCCAGAGTCCAGTAGTCCATTCCTATTTTAGCAAGGCAACTCTGCTCAGGACTGCGCACCGCCGCGGGGAGCGGAGGAGAGCTGCCCAGCTCATTGTAAGTTGATGCACATGGGCTCAAGGGACTTGGGGTCGTGGATAGATAGATGGGGCGATTCCCAACTCAAGATGCAGTGTAATTTGCATAATGCTCTTCAATATTTTCCGGATCGGCTACATCAAATGGTCATTTCCAGTCACCTCTGCTGGACTCTGCCTTCAGTGTGGGATCAGTCTGGAGGAGGCAGGAAAGGACGCAGGGCGGAAGCCGGTTCTTACTGATACTGACAAAGGAGAGCCCAGCTGACCTGCAGAGGGCGCTGGAATGTCAGTTTGGAAGTTGAGCTTCCGGGAAAACCCTAGGGCTCGCTCCCTGTTTCTAATTTGTGTCCTCAGAGAATATAACATGTTAGCTGTGCACTTTGACAAACCGGGAGGACCAGAAAACCTTTACTTAAAGGAGGTGGCCAAGCCGAGCCCAGGAGAGGGTGAAGTTCTCCTCAAGGTAGCAGCCAGCGCCCTGAACCGGGCGGATTTACTCCAGGTACCCAGGAGCCATGTGTGGTTGGTGTAGGGTGGGATACCAGAGCCTCCCTCGTGGTGGGTCTTGGATAAACATTTACCAGGCAATTTGAAGGAATGGCACAGGGCCTCACCGGCTTGTGTGCAGAGTGTATGCTGGGAGTTCTGAGAGGTAGAATCATTTAGCCTCCTTTTTTACCACAAAACAAAATGCAGTCGATATTTACAAACTGGAATCCAGCCAGTGTTAATCTTTAGTTTACCCAATCCTGGTGTGGCACTGTGGGTTAATGCGCTGAGCTAGCGGCAAAGTCAGTGTGATCCACAAGGTCCGCGGTTCCAGCTCACCAGCTGCTCCTCAGAAATCCCATACAGGAAACTGGAACTACCATTTGTAGAGCGGATATGTACACTTATACCCACTCCGTAACCCACACCCACCTGGTGTGGCGCTGTAAGATAAGCACTGGACCCAAGGTAAACAGTTCAAACCCATCAGCTGCTCCTCAGAAACCCAACTGGACGGCGCTTAACAACAACAACTCACCAGTCACTATGAGTCAGAACCGACTCGTCGGTATATAAAAGTGTGGCACTGTAGGATAAGCACTGGACCCAAGGTCGCAGTTCAAACTCATCAGCCGCTCCTTGGGAACCCTATATAAGTAGGAACCAACTGGCACTTAACAACAACAAAAACCTAAGACTGAACTGCTCCTTAGGGTTTCTGAGGCTGTAAATCTTTACCCAACAGACTTCCTCAAATTTCTCCCCCAGAGTGGCTCGTGGGTTCCAAACACGGGCCTTTCAGTTAGCAGGCTGCTCCTGGTATTCATGCTTCTTGCTGTTGTGTGCCATGGAGTTGGTTCCGAGGGTTTCCAGAGTGACTGGTAAGTTTGAACTACCATCCTTAAGGGCAGCAGTCGAGTGCTTATCCTATAGCACCAATCCAGCGCCATATTTATGCTTGTTATATTTAAGTGCCATCAAGTCGGTCCCAACTCATAGCAACCCTGTATTGGGGTTCCTGGGCTTTAAATCTTGGTGGGAGCAGAAAGCCTCATCTTTTTCCATCAGAGCAGCTGGTGGGCCTGAACTGCCAACCTTGTGGGTCACAGTTCCGTGCTTATCCTAAAAAGCCAAAACACTCCCATAATCATGTTTTGGCATTACTGTCTCTCATTTACTCCTCACAACAACCCTGTTCACTATTTGTATTTTAAAACAAACAAAAAACAACTAAGGGTCAGAGAGGTTAAAGAAAACCCCCAAGACCACACTAATAGCCAGTGGAGGAGCTGTGATTCAGCTAAGATTTTTGTGGCTCCAAAGCTCCCATTCTTTCCACTCTGAGTGTTCCAGAGTTAGCAGGAGCAGAACTCTTAGCAGGCATCTTCTGCCTGCTATTTGACTCACTAAAATTGACTTGAAGTTGTATTGATTGGGATAATTCAGACATGTACATAATAGAATCACAGTATATTCTTTTCAAAATAAACATGAGCAGGGCCCAGGCAAGTGTACTTTGAAAAAGCTGCTCAACTGATTCTGATACGCATCCTGAGCTTAAGCCTCTAAAGGGTCTGAGACTCCCAGGGTTGGGATTAGTTCCTAGTACAACCTGTACTTGATATATAAAGTGGCTACCCTTAAAGGAGTCCTGGTGTGGCACTGTGGGTAATGCGCCAGACTGCAAAGCCGTTTGAACTGCAAGATTAGTGGTTCAAGCTCACCAGCTACTCCTAGGAAACCCTATACAGGGTCACTATGGGTCGGAACCAACTCGACGGCACTTAACAACAACAACAACTCTTAAAGGAGGAGTCCCGGTGTGGACCATAGAATAAACACTTCACCTCAAGGTCAGTTTGGACCTCAAGGTCAGCAATTCACACTCAGCAGCTGCTGTGCTCCCCAGAAACCCTATACAGAGTCACTATGAGTCAGAACAGACTCAATGGCACTTAACAACAACACTCTTAAAACTATTTGAGTCCAGGGATTTGTGATGTTGGACAAGGCATTTTCCTGCCCAGGTCTTAGTCTCTTCTTTTATAAAACAAGGGGTTTAAATTAGGTAACTAACTAAAAGCCCTACCAGTTTTGACATCCACTGACTAGTGACCAACAAAAAACAAATGACTTCTCCTATCCCTGTTTCTGACTTACCTAAATTGGCCTTTATTTGGCAAAAAGAGAGGAAGAGGGTCAAAGATGTATAATATACAGATTTCTGATCATGCTCACCATTCACATGCGTACCCCTCTTTGGCAGAGACAAGGCCAGTATGCCCCACCCCCAGGAGCCAGCAACATTTTGGGACTTGAGGCATCTGGATACGTGGTCGAGCTGGGACCTGGCTGCCAGGGGCACTGGAAGCCTGGAGACTCAGCCATGGCTTTGCTGCCCGGCGGGGGCCAGGCTCAGTACGTCACTGTCCCCGAAGGGCTTCTCATGCCCATCCCCACAGGACTATCCCTGCCCCAAGCTGCAGCCATCCCAGAGGCCTGGCTCACCGCCTTTCAAGTGTTACATCTCTTGGGTAAGGAACACCCCCCACCACCACCATTCTCACTCTATTAAAGTGCCCTCAATTCTTCTATAACTCAGCCCCCTTAGGCCCTAGAAGTCCTCCAAGGCACCAAACCCCAGCACTTCACTCTAATGTCCCTTCAATCGTATTAGGTCCACAAACCATGTTAGCAATGGCTTGATGTTGAGGCTAAAAATCACTGTTAGTCAATAGAAGACCTGTAAACATTGACTAGAAGGCAGGTGTACATCTTCACACTATCAGCTCAGCAGTAGCCCCAGCTTGTAAGTCAGCTGAGCTTCTCTCTGTGCACCCAAGTAGAGAAGAAGGTACCATTCTATCCACTCATTTATTCCTCCACAAGCACACTAATGCCAGCCAAGAATTCAGAGAAGGGAGTCAGATTGTGGTGGCCTTGAGGGGACTTGATGCAAAAGTCGATCATTTCTTACATTTTGAGCAGGAAGTAGCATAACCTTAACGAAAGCCCCACTTTAGGAGGAGGAGCCTGTTGCTGCCTGGGGTGTAAGGAGACAAAAGACTTAGTGACAGTAGCTGGAGGCCAGTTTCAGACTGGCCAGAGACTGGCTTCTGGAGGACAGTAGGAATGGTGGTGGTGGTGGTAGTGTTAAGTGCCATTGAGTCAGTTCTAACTCCTAACAACCCTGTATAGGGTTGCCTAGGAGGGCTGGTGGGTTTGAACTGCCAACTTCATGATTAGCAGTCCAGTGCTTAAAAGAACTGACAGTACACACTAAAAAGAAAGTTAAGCAAACTAGAGATATTTGGCATTTGGTAAACTTGGGATCAGGTGATCATGGTAGGATATGCCTGTCTGGAAAAGTTGCAAAGTAAAGAAAATTGTTCCTGTACTTTCTGTCATAGGAAATGTCCAGGCCGGAGACTCTGTGCTAATCCATGCAGGGTCAAGTGGTGTGGGCACAGCTGCCATCCAACTCACCCGGATGGCTGGAGCCATTCCTCTAGTCACAGCTGGCTCACAGCACAAGCTTCAAATGGCAGAAAAGCTTGGAGCAGCTGTTGGATTCAATTACAAAGAAGAAGACTTTTCTGAAGCAACATTGAAATTCACCAAAGGTAAACAACTACTTCTGCAGCTCAGCAGATATGTCAGAGATGATTCAGTAAATCCTCAACAGCCTTAAGGATGCTAGTGCTCTGCATTTGTCTCTGTTAAATACACAACAGCTGGCCTGGTCAAATTCTAGTGCATTGGGGTTTGACCATTGGAGATAGGCAGTCATTTAGGACTGAGATCATTTCCATGTGCATTCTTACAAGTGATATAATTCATACATGTTTTAGAAGTTGGGTAATTACAAAAGAGTTGGCTTGGAATTATCCAGGGCCTCTACTTCCCAACTAGCCATTCCACAGTGAGTTAACAGGAGGCTTGAGACCATTCTGGAGCTGGGTCTAACAGGGTTAGAGTAGTAGGGGGATAAGTGGATGAGTAGATGTGCATGCCTCAATATTCTACAGCCAAATATGGATTATTTTGGGCTCATCTCTTTCAATTTTTCATAGAGTAGACCATCTAGTGCACACACTTCAAACTTAGATATGAACAACTAACCTGCCCTGTACTGTTCTCACTCATACCTGGATGCCAGTATATACTGTACTTAGGTGGGAGACATCAAGGTATAGTGCAATGCAATTTCTTTCTTGCTTCCTCTTGTGACTTGTTGTTAAGTGCTGTCAAGTCGATTCTAAATCATAGCAACCTGTATAGGGTTTCCAAGGAGCAAATGGTGAGTTTGAATTGCCAACCTTGTGGTTCAAATTGACCTTGTGGTCTGGTGCTTATCCTGTGTGGTGGTGGTAGTGTGCCGCAGAGCCGGTTCTGACTCATAGCGACCCTGCATAGGGTTTCTGAGGCTGTAAATCTTTATGGGAGCAGGAAGCCTCATCTTACTCCCATGGAATAGCTTGCAGTTTCGAACTGCTGACTTTATCCTATAGTGCCATATTTATTCACATATGCCTGATAGAGTTCAGCTACTTAAACTCCATTTACAGCACTGTTTCCATGAGCAATGTCTCAAGTTCCAAAATATAAATTTACCTGTACTTATGTATATTCATATATGTGGTGCTGTGGGTTAGTGTGCTGGACTGCAGAATCAGTTTGAACTGCAAGGTTGGTGGTTCAAGCTCACCAGCCAATCCTAGGAAATCCTGCACAGGGTCTCTATGGGTCAGAACCAACATTACAGCAAACACACACACAAAATCCACAAATATTCCATAGAGTCTTATTTTGTACCAAGTTTTCTGGCCCTGACTGATATCACAAATCTGTGTTCCATGTGAAAGGCGCTGGAGTCAACCTTATTCTAGACTGCGTCGGTGGATCCTACTGGGAGAAGAATGTCAACTGCCTGGCTCTTGATGGTCGCTGGGTTCTCTATGGTCTGATGGGAGGAGCTAACATCAACGGGCCTTTGTTCTCGAAGCTACTTTTTAAACGAGGAAGTCTAATCACTACTGTACTAAGAGCTAGAGACAAAAAGGTAAGTGATGAATAAAAAGAAAATGTGGCTTCATTTACATAAAATTATGAAGCAGAGAGCTCTGTCACATCTTAAATTAGGAGCTCAGGTAGAAGCTTGCCCCCCTTTTGAAAGCCTGATTTCCAAGAACAAATTAGAGTTGGTCAAAAGAAGCTTCAGCATCTTGGAAAGAGGGTGACTTGTATCATTTAAACTTTCTAACAGAATGAACAAAGTACCATCCAAACTTTCTAACAGAATGAACAAAGTATTGAGCGTATTAGGAAGTACTGCTAATGGTTTCAAGAGTTTGTTTTCAAAGGTATCTGTATCGCATTCTGTTGCTGTAAAGTGCTGAATCAGTTCCGGCCCATAGCAACCCTGTATAGGGTTTCCGAGGAATAGCTAGTGAGCTTGAACCTCCAAGCTTGCAGTTCAAACCAACCTTGCAGTCTAGAGTATTAACCCACAGCGCCACACCAGGACACTGTTGTTGTTATGTGCCATGGAGTCGGTTCCGACTCATAGCGACCCTGTACAGGGTTTCCGAGCCTGATCGTTCTCCAGCGCAACAGCTGGTAGTTTCGAACCGCTGACCCTGAGATTCACAGCCCGATTCGTAACCACTACGCTACCAGAGATTCTACACCAGGACACTAGCAGTCATCAATTTTGGGAATGTTTCCCAATAAGGGTTTCACAACTGCTGGAGCATATCTAAATTCTGTCAGTGGCTGCTGCTTGCTTGAAGCTTTATTTAAAAAGTAAACAACAACAAAAGAACGGCCCGTTGGCTGTTATTGATGGTAATATTTTACTCTCATCTTAATTCTTTATCTGGTACAGAATAGATGTTACACATTTGGGGCCAGGAAGTGAAGAGGGTATATGTGCTTTTTCGATGTGGCAGAGTAAGGCCTCGGGTCCACTCTGACAGGTTCCTTTTCCTGATCTTAGTACAAAGAAATGCTGGTGAAGGCTTTCACACAACAAGTTCTGCCTCACTTCTCCACGGAGGGCCCCCAGCGCCTAAAGCCCGTTCTGGACAGAGTCTACCCGGTGTCTGAAATCCAAGAGGCCCATGTGCTAATGGAGACTAACAAGAACGTGGGCAAAATTGTCTTGGAGATGCCCCAGTGAAGGCAACAGTTGCAGTACAGGACCACGGCCACCCCAGGTCTTTTAACAGTTAACTTAAAAAATTCACAGGCAAGAGATCCGCTACTACTCACAGACCCACCTCTAAACCACTGCCCTTTCTCGACCTAATCAACACTGTCAAGTAGGTCTGAAGAAATAAAGGAATGGAGTTGAAACGTGGTGTGCTCACTGGCTGCCTCAACTTGCTGATGGACAGACGTGATGTGGGTGTTGGGACGGGCGTAGCTGCGGAGATTACAGGAGGCCAGTCCGACCGAGGCTCCATCAACGGGATGTGCCACGGAAGGCTGGGGTCCGGGATAAAGTTACTGCTTTAGCCTAGACACAACGGGTCAAAACCTTTGTACTTCGCTTCGTGCATTGTCAAAATCCCAAACTCACTCGCTAACAGCCGGAACCTGGTTGCGCGCGGCCTACATCTCTCAACAGCGCACCAAGCCCCGCCCCTTCCCGCTACCCAACTAGGTTTTGTATCGCCTCTCTCCACCCTCCCTAGTCCTCACCCCCTTCTGTTAGCTCCTCTTGCTTTGGGTTGCTCCGACCGGAACACCTCCCCTTCTTTAACCTAGGCCCCGCCCTTTCCGGTCCAGTACCCGGAAGATTTTCCCACTCTCTTACCTTCCGGCCTTACAGTTATCTCTGTCTCGTTTTGCCCCGGACTCTTTTCTAAAGAGAACAGGTAGTGCGTTAACTCGCCTCGACGTGAAACAGCGACACACCGGCGTTTCAATAGCTTCCGGCGGAGCGTGGATGTTGATGTTCTGTATCTAACAAGGTTGCGCTCGAGGTAGCGCGAGCTCTGGAGGTGTCCGGAGGATTCAGTATTTACTACGTTGACTTCATCAGCCAGCCAAGATGGCTATGCAAGCGGCTAAGAGGGCAAACGTGAGTAGCGGGGCCTTCTAAAGAGATGCGGGGAGTACTTCTCTGTTTCACTTTCTCAGCGGAGTGGATCCGAGCATCCTAGGCAGGAAAGGCCCAAATTTCCTATCCTATCCGAGGAGGTCCCTAGGGGGGGATGCTCCTTGAGCCACATTTCCGCTTTCACCCCTTAGGAAAGTTTTTTTCATTCTGTCCTAGTATTAGTGAGTGTTTGCCTTACAGTCTTTCTTGCTAAACCAATATTTAAGACTTGGCATCAAAGCTCTTCTCTTCAGCCTAGAAATTGATAGCATAAACGAGTCTCCAATAAATAGTTCACAGGTGATTTAAATTTATAATTCTCTTCAGTTCAGAGGGCGAACTTATTTATTCTACAGTATTTCTTGAGCACCTGCCGTGAACCAAGTAGAAGCGCAGTGGCTCTGTAGGATAAGCACTTGACTGTGAACCAGAAAACAAAGTTTCGAGCCTACCAGTCGCTCCGCAGTAGAAAGATAGGGCTTTCTGCGCATACAAAGATTTACAGCTTCAGAAGCTCTATACAGAGTCGCTATAAGTCGGAACACTCTGCGTGGCATTTAACAATATATCAGTGCCTTGTATATTGTGTAGCACTGTACTTGATAAGCGCTGGAGTCCTGGTGTGGCGCTTTAGGATAAGCGTTGAGCTGCTAACTACAGGGTCTGGCGTTCAAACCCACCAGCCTCCTCTTGGAAACCCTATACGGGTCGCTATGAGTCAGACCATACTTGACTGCAATTTAACAACAAAAGCAACTAACCGCACAATGGGCAGTTCATACCCACCAGTTGCTCCTTGGAATCTCTATACAGAGTGGCCATGAGTCTGGAGTGACTCCAGGACACAACAGCAACAGTTTTAAGGTTGTTACCAATCAGAACAACTTAACAGCAATGGTGTGGGGGTTTTTTTGCTGTTGTTTTTAAACCATTTGGTCATATCTGTTTTTTCCAAGAGTGAGCCAGGGCCCTCTCCCTGGAAGGGCAGGAAAAAGGATACAGCCCAACAAAGGTGTTGAAAGTAGTAGTGATGGTAAGGTTTGAAGACAGTATATTTTTGATGAAGTAATTTATTAGAGAAATAGATTTGGATTGTTTTGCCGTATTGATTGTCCATTTGAACTTGTGAATTGTATCTAAAACTTGAGTTTGCACACTTGCTTTACATTTACCACTACTACTTAAAGCTGTTTTCTTTAATATGTTGTTGTTGTTAAGTGCCCTGGAGTCTATTCCAACTCATAGCGGCCCTGTATAGGGTTTCCGAGGAGCAGTTGTTGGGTTTGAACTGATGACCTTGTGGTATGCAGTCCAGTGCTGATCCTGCAGCACCACACCAGAAGTCCATTTTTTTAATATAAAAATGCATCTTCGTGTAAATAAATGTTCAGTGTCTAATTGAAAATGTTAACCAGGGCAGGAGTAAGAGCTAGACTGGAGATACAAAAAGGTAAATTAAAAAGTATTGTTGGTAAGTTTCCTATTCATATATGATGACTTTACTCCTAACAAAATGATCAGTGGATGGCTCAAGTCTTCTGAGCCATTTCAGTTTGAAACAGAAGTCAGCTCAGAAGACCATCGTGACTGTTTTTTGGCGTTCCAAAGGGCTAATTTGGATAGATTTTTCTCAAAAGACACAGAACAATTATAGGAACTTATTAAGAAGGCGTTTTAAAGAAAATTGAAAACTACTGGTGAGAGAAAGGCCAGGAATGTTGTGCTGAGGAATTTTCTATCATAATAATGCACCTACTCATTCTTCCAGGATACTAAAGCTTGTCCTACAAGAATTTCTTTGGGCAGCCTTACTCTGTCCACCCTACAACCTTGATTTTGCCTGTCTAGACTTTTTTCCTCTGAAATCTCCCCCCGCCCCCCCAAAAATTTTTTTTAAAGGGACAAATTTTTAATCCCTTAAGGATGCTGAAGGAGCCCCGGTAGCATTAATGAGTTATGCATTGGGCTGCTAATCACAGTGTCAGCCGTTCGAATCCGCCAGCTGCTCTATAGGAGAAAGATGAGGCTTTCTGCTCCTATAAAGATTCACAACTTTGAAAATCCTATACAGGGTTGCTGTGAGTCAGAACTGATTTAACACATGCAGAAACTATCATTTTGACATGGTGTAAATCGAAGACTGTAGGAATCATTAAGGAAGGGTTGGAGAGATGGAAATAACACCTTCAGAAGTGTATATACCTAGGTGGAGGATACCAAGAAACAATAGCTTCATATTTTTATATTTTTGTTTAATAAAAGTTGCTAGATTTTTTGAGCAATACTTTTGTTGTTAAATTGACATTATTTTTCAGAGAAGTTTTACCAAAAAATATTGCTTAGAAATTAAACACAGCCTCTTTATGTTCTTTCTATCTATGGAGTAGTTTTATTTTTTTCCTTTCAATAACATCTAACATTTATTTGGTATACATTTATTACAGTTGATGATCTAATAGATGAGCCAATGATACTGTCTGGCCAAATGGTTGAAAGAGATTCATGTTTATGCACAACCCAAAGAGAGGTGACCCAAAAGGATGCAGAAATCATTTATATATATATATATATATATATGCATATGTATGTATGTATGTTTTTTGTTTTTAAGTTTTTATTGTGAATTGAATAATAGTTTACATGGGAGAACATCAGTTTTCATTTCAGTGCTTACAATCTCCTCCATGCATCATCATTCAACAGTATAACAGTATTTGCTTCTATTCCCTCTGTCTTATTTATTGTGTTTTTTTTTTGTTTTGTTTTTTTTTGAGTGGGAGATGTACACAGAAACACTCAGGAATATATAATCATTTAAACAACCAAAGGGCACATTCTGCAAGCCTGCCTCCTGGCTGCCAGCACTCAATCTTTCTCTTTCCATGAGTCTAGAGTCCTCAGCTGCTCTCTCTCTCCATTTCCTCATGTCTGTCTCCATGTCTGATGTCGTTGCTTCTCTAGATAGGGTCCCACATTCCACTCGTGCTCTTTTCCCTTGATGGTCCTAGGGTCCTCTGTTTCTGGACTGTAAGGTTAACTACTGCCCCCTTTTTGTTACAAAACTTATACCTTTACAGTTGTAACAATTGCAATTAGTCATAACAATTGCTCACTATTGAATCATAAGAATCTTATCCTCATCTCTTTTCACCAGACCTGTCTAGACAAGATGAAAACTATTCAGTGGGGACTCTACCTTCCCCCTCGCACATTTTTAAACTAAACTCCCTCTTGAAAACTTGTAAGCCAGTCACTTTGTACCTTTATTGCCCCCTGATTTTAGGTAGCCTTTGTCTAAGTTGCGTGTCCCTATTTACCCTGTATACACAGGGGATAGGATTGATACTTACTGTGAAGACTCCTTCTCTCTCAGTTGGTGTTTTGATCTTCTACATCCATAAATATAGGTCAAGTTCATCAAATTGTAGCAATTTACACTTGTTTCCTTTATCAAAATTCTTTTTTTTTAATCTTCCTCTAGTTGAGTTCTGGTCATCAAGCCATTGAGGCTAGGTCAAATGGGTATTGTGTGCAAGTTTGGACGTTCTTGTGCATCTCCCCTGACCAGTACTTTCTGATTTACCCATGTATATTTAAGAGTCATCAATTTACTTTGGAAACTGTGAGTGTGGCAACAATAATTGTCAAAGGGAGCATAAAGAGTTAAGGGGAGCATGCAAAAGATCAAGAAAAGAAGTCTAAAGATGCCCATCCTATACAAAAGCATATTTTAATTTCAAAGAAGTCTGAGAAGAAATAGGAGAAAACCAAGAGTGTTGAAACAAGGGACTAGTCAACAGTGTCAGAACTCTCAGAGAGGTTAGCTAAGTATTATGAGGCTTGAGCATTGCAATTAAAAGGCCTTAGTGAGTAAAAGGGTTGGCGATCTGCACTCATGAAGATTACAGCCTGGGAAACTATGAGGCAGTTCAACTCTATTCTATAAGGTTGTTGCGATGCAGAATCAGCAACACACAGGTAAGTAAAAAGGAGCCTTTATGGCAGAATGATTAAATGCTTGGCTTCAAACCAAAAGGATAAAGGATGGCAGTTGAAACCCACCCAGTGGCTCCGTGAGAAAAAAACCTCAGGCTCGGTTCCTATAAAGATTGCTGCTGTTGTTAGGTGCCATTGAGTCAGCTTCAACTCATAGCAACCCTGTGTAAAACATTGTAAAACATTGCCTGGTGCTGCACCATCCTTGTTGTTAAGTGTGTGTTCATTGCTGCAGACGTTGTGTCAATCCTTAGAGGGAGCTGCAGTAGAAAAATGAGGTAGTCTGCTTCCATAAAGATGTACAGTCTTGGAAACCCTAAGTAGAAGTTCGACTCTATTTGATTGTTGTTAACTGCTATCAAGTAGGTGCCGACTCACAGCCACACTGTATAGGGTTTCCAAGGAGGGGCTAGTGGGTTTAAACCTCTGACCTTGTGGTTAGCAGTCCAGTGCTTATCTCACTGCACCACACCAAAACTCTATCCAATAGGATAGCTTTAAGTCAGAATTGACTCTGTAGCAGTGTGGTGGGTTAAATTCAGTGAAGGCAAAAGCCCGATCTTTTTCTTCACTGTATAGTCCTAATACTTAACATGGTATAAGTAAGGAAGGTGCATAGTAAATATTTGTTGACTGAAGGAAGAGTGGTCTAGGTGAGTCATTTGCATTGTTAAAAGATTGGCTGGATATAAGGACAAGAAGAAGCTAGTGGTGAGGTTGTTGTTAAGTGCCATCAAGTTAATTCCGACCCATAGCAACCCTGTGTATGGTTTCTGAGGGGCAGCTGGTGAGCTTGAACTACTGACCAGAGAAGAAGGTGTTAAATTAAAAAGAGAGAAGAGATCATTGATACAAGTCCTGGAGAAATGGGTTTGAAATTTCCTGTTTAACTCTGTTGTTATCGTTGTTATTGATCAGTGCTATCAATAACAAGTATGGTTCTGGCTTATAGCAATCCTTTACAGGATTTCTAAGGAGTAAATGGTGGGTTTGAACTGCTGACCTTGTGGTTAGCAGTCTAGTGCTAATCCTAGAGAGCCACACCAGGATATGTTGTTAGGTGCCATCAAGTTGGTTCTGACACATAGTGCACCACCCACAGAATCGTTATTGTGCTTGAGCTCATTGCTTCTCCCACTGTGCCAGTCCATCTCGTTGGGGCTCTTCCTCTTTTTTGTTGACCCTCCACTTTACCAAACCTGATGTCTTCCAGGGACTGGTCCTTCCTGATAATATATCAAAAGTATGAGAGACAAAGTCTTGCCATCCTGGCTTCTAAAGAGTATACTGGCTGTACTTCTTCCAACAGATACGTTTGTTTTTCTAGAAGTCCGTGGTACTTAAAATATTCTTCTCCAACGTTATAACTCAAATGCATCAGTTCTTCTATGGTCTTTTTTATTCACTGCCTAGCTATCATTTACATACGAAGGTATTGAAAATGCCATGGCTTGGGTCAGGCACACCTTAGTCCTCACATTTACATCTTTGCTCTTGAACGCTTTAAAGAGATCTTGTGTAGCAGATTTGCCTAATAAAATACATCATTTCATTTCTTGACTGCTGCTTCCATAAGTGTTGATGGTAGAGCCAGGCAAAATGAAGTCTTTGACAACTTCAACCTTTTCTCCATTTATGTGGAATTTATTTATTGATTCAGTGGTGAGGATTTTGTTTCTTTACATTGAGGTGCAACCCATACTGAAGACTGTGGTCTTTGATCTTCATCAATTAAGTATGAGGTTGAGTCAAAAATTATCCACACTGGCTGTAGCGTTTAATTTAATCAACTTTTAGAAAAGACAAATACATCATTTTTCGACATTATCTTCTTGCTGTTCAATACACTTTTGTCCATCTGTCAACAAGCTTTTGTATTCCCTTACCAAAAAAATGTTTTAAACTGAATGCACCACTGTCTTCACTTCTTTATCAGAGGTGAATCTTCATCCTCAAAGGCTGCTTTCAGGGGAACAAACAGGTGAAAGTCTGATAGAGTAAGATTAGGACTGTAGGCAGTGTGAGCAGAGGTGTGAGGATACACATTGTCATGCAAAATAAAAATACCCTTGGATAGCAGTGCTCTGCCTTTAATGTGACGTTTTCACTTCAGTTCTTCAGTGAACATCTCACTGTAATGAGCACTGTTGATTATTAAACCTGTTTCCTGATACTGTTCCAATACTGGCCTTGAGAATTCCAGAAAACTATAAGCATCAGTTTTCCAGCTGATGGTTGGCTTCTGAACATTTTCTTGGTTTTTGAGGTTGTTTCCATTCCATACTCTGCTGTTTGTGCTCAAGTTCGTAGTGATGAATCTACGTCTTGCAATGAAGAAGTCGTTGTTGTTGTTAGGTGCCAGCAAGTCGGCACTGACTCATAGCGACCCTATGCACAGCAGAACGAAATACTGCCTGGTCCTGGGCCAACCTCACTATTGTTGCCACGCTTGAGACCATTAATGCTGCCATTTGGCCAATCCATGTCTCTGGAGGTCTTCCTCTTTCTCTGACCTTCTACCTTACCAAACATGATATCCTTCTCCAGCGACTGGTCCCTCCTGACAATATGTCTGAAGTATGAGAGACGAAGTTTGGCCATCCTGGTCTCCAAGGAGCACTCTGGCTGCACTTATTCCAACACAGATCTGTTGGTTCTTTTGGCAGCTCATGGCACTTTCAGTATTCTCTAACACCATAACTCAAAAGCCTCAATTCTTCTACGGTCTTTCTTTTTCACTGTCCAGCTTTCGCATCCATATGAGGTTACTGAAAAGACCATGGCTTGGGTCAGGTGTAACTTAGTTCTCAAGCTGACATCTTTGCTCTTCAACACTATTAAAAAGTCGCATGCAGCAGATTTGCCTAATGCAATCCGTCATTTGATTTCTTGACTACTGCTTCTGTGAGTACTGATAGTTGATCCAAGAAGAATGAAGTCCTTGATAACTTGCAAAATTCTGTCATGTGATCTCCAGCATCATTTCTGTCACCAAGGCCATATTTCCCACCTACTGATTCTTGATTGCATGTTTGATCAATTTCAAACAAGAGAAGTTGGTAGAATTCTTCAGTTTCATCATCACTGGATTTAGTGCGTAAATTTGAATAATAGTGATATTAACTGGTAAAAAGCATATGGATATTATCTTATCACAGACC